GGTGGACATGTAAAAAAGCTAGAAAATTTTGGATTCAAATACACACACTGATTCAGAGGATGTTAAAGATTAATATACAGTTGAGACCAGAGGTCTTTCTTTTGGGACTGATGTTGGAAAGAAGTCATAGAACTTTGTTTTTGTATATGATAACTGCAGCAAGATTATTGTGCCCACAAAGATGGAAAGATTCGGCACAACCCACAATGGGGGAATGGTTGGCGAAGATGATGACTTCTTTGATTAGAGAAAAGATAATATCTATGTTTATTGCTGAGTGGAAGCCCTTTATGGACTTTTTGTGGAAAACAGAAAAAAAATAAGTTATGATTTATGGTTTTGATGATTAGACAAAATTATAGAAAGAAGGGAGAGATGTTGTAACTTTAGAGAGAGAAGTAGATTTATAATTGTACATATAACTGCTGTAAAGACGATTGGAAGCCAGTTCTTTACATCTTTTCTTCTTTTTCTGTTTTCTTCTACCTTTTTCCCCTTTTTTTTTTCTTTTTGCACGTTAGCTTTCTTTTTTATTTCTTCCTTCTTCTTCTTCTTTCCTTCTTACTCTATTTTAGTTTGTACTCATTTTTACTCTGGTTTTTAAAACTATGCAGGACAGACAGGCATGGCTGGCTGGGGAATTCTGGGAATTGAAGTCCACACATCTTAAACGTTGCTGAGGTTGAGAAACACGGCCCTAATGGGAAAGCAGTTCTTGACTAAAACAGGCTGTGCTTGGTGCTTAGGAAAAGAGACAGCTGCAAGCAAGTTTGGGGTTGTGCAGCACACTGTCAACTATTCACGGGTGTGAAAATCTCCCGGCAAGATGATGGCAGATGTCCTGCCTGCCAAAACAGGCTGGATCCCAGCATTCCTTAGTATGGCTCCTGGGGTAGCTTAAGGACAAAACGTTGTCCTCGGCTGACAGTTCTTGCAGGCCTGTGTACTTGGTGACCCCCGAAGGTGAACCTGGCTCCCCTTGTCAGGCATAATGGGGCCCATTAGGGATTAGTAATGTTGGTATTCTCAGTGCTGTAGAAGCAGACAGAAGAAGGAGGTTTAGGTATCTGCCAGACCAGGATACAGGTTGTCTTCAGTTTAGTGCTACTGTAATCTGTGCAGACCTCGCATTGCACGGAGTAAGTCCCTTTGCAGAAACCCTTTGCAGGAAAAATTAACAAACCGTTTTTTTAATAGGACAGAAGGAGAACAAGGGTTTCATGTCTGACTGGAGAATCAGCATGTTAACAATATTCAGTGTGTATTGCACTGAAATGTCAAAAACATCATATCCAGTTTAATTTTCATGCGAGCTTGTTTCGGAATGTGGCCCCCAGCACATCTCATAAAAGTCAAGAACTGGCTTCCAATCTTCTTTACAGCAGTTATATGTACAATTATAAATCTACTTCTCTCTCTAAAGTTACAACATGTCTCCCTTCTTTCTATAATTTTGTCTAATCATCAAAACCATAAATCATAACTTATTCTTCCACAACCTGGAAGAACTGCACACCCTTATTGCACAGGCTTGCTAGTTTTAGAAGGAGGACCTACGCTCTCTCAGCCTTTGCTGTCCAGATATGTTGGATTACGATGGCCATCATTCCAGAGTTCACGTATCTACTTTCTGTTTTCCAAAATCCCAGTCATGCTGGAACGTCTAAACCTTTCTCAGAGCTGACAGTTCTCTTCTGTGTCTCCCATATCCTTCTCCCTCTATGCTAACTGACTGTCCCCAGCAGACCTCCCAACCATTTGGAGATAATGATGTCACGGCACGTTCTGCAAAAAGAGGGGATGGAAACTGTACCCAGAAACTAGGCACGAGAGGAGGTCTGTTTGACGGGAAAAGGGTAATGGGAATGTTTTGGAAAATACCTTTTCTACCCATGTGCCCTGATTCTCCACTCCTACAGGCACCCATGACCAGTGCAGGTACTTTAGCAGCTGGGTGCAATGAAATCGCTTCCACGTGTGTGAGGTGACTGGAAGTCCTAGGACCATTTAACTGTGCTGTCCAGGCAGGCTGGATTTGTTCTCTCGGTGCTGGCTGGCTGGTTTACCTCCATTCTTCAGATGCATTTGGATGGTGCCGGCCGTGGGAGATAGTCTGTTCGTAGTTCACTGAAGCCATTAAGGAACTGGGTTCAAATGTTTCCATCGCATCATGCAGCCTGAAATCTGCAAAATCACTTTGGAGTGGCAACTCAGCCCTTGCGGGAACACTGGAAAGTGATACGTAACTGTTCCCTGTTCTTGGTCCAGCTGCTTTTCTCATTTCCCTCTTTAATCTTCTGTTCTTGATCTTCTGACTCTTTGAACTGAGGTTTCATTTCCTTAGACCCTCCGTTTCCCCTCTGCGTCTTTTCCCTTGACCCACTTCCCCTCCGCTTGTGTTTCCCTGAGTCCCTTTTGCCTTTGCACGCAACTCATCATCTAGAATCACAGGCTCCATGTCTTCCTTCTAAGAGCCAGATTGCTCAGTCAGTGTGGGAAGGTGATCATTATCCATAACGAGCAAAGGGACTCAAATGAACATGTACCTTTTTCTCATTTGGTTTAGATTCTGGAACGGACGCTGGAACCTGACAGTTCAGATGAGGAGCCCCCACCAGTTTACTCTCCTCCTTCCTATGATATGCATGTCTATGACCGAAAGTACTTGCAGACTCCTCCCGTACCACCACCCCGGTATGTAGACATTAAGATCCAGAATCATAGAGCTGGAAATGTCCAGCTAGTCCAGTGATGGTGAACGCTTTGGGCTCAGTGTGTCAAAAATTTGGAAAATGCCTAACTTGACTCTGCTGGTGTGTTCCCCCCCCCCCAGCAAAAGAGAAACAATTCTTTACATATTCACTTATTTAAAAAAAATGCAGTCCAATCATGTGTTGTGCTATATATCATATAAAGAAACGTCAAATAATTACAAAAATGAAATATGAGTA